AACCCAGTACCGTCCAGTAGTAGTACCGCCAGTTCAAGCAACCAATAACACTAACAATAACAACCACTCAAAACAAACAGACACAACAACAACCAATGTAGAACCTAACCATTAACATCCAGAACAAACCAACATCTCTGCTAGCTGGTCATATTAAAGCTACGTAGCTTGTAATTATATCACTTTTTAGTCATGTATGCACGTCTGCACCTCACTTTAGAAATATGCCACAAAAACAAAAAAACAAAAACTGTTTCTCAAATCCACGATTTTGGGATTTTTGAAAAAAAAAATCAAAATGCAATCGAAAAATCGTTTTGGCAACTTTCCATGGCAATTGGTCTTTTGGGAAAATTTCTGTGTTTTTTTCAAAAAGTGCTGAATTGACCATTTTCCCATACAAATTTTTGATCCACCATACATACTGCAATAAACACAAAATCAACAATAGACCTTTAACATTTGCACCTGTTACCACACAAGTAGTTCTGTAGACCTATTCAATCCTCCAGCTTTTGTTTGGCCATCTCCACCATACTCTCTCTCTCTCTTTTTGTACAACTTCAAGTGAACAAATATTAAAGATTTGATCTATAGGCAATCCACTTTGAGGTCACCTAGGAAACCAGCACATATCTCATGACACCAACATTGTGTATGCATTTTAAGAACTAACACAAAGATAACTTTTCCAAAGAAACCAGAAACACACACACATACCAAAAGCTTGGGTAACGATTGTGAAGGGATACTCAGGTAGAATGTGTTACTTGGGCTCAGTGAATATAGAATGGTGTTGGACTCTGGAGCTCAGCAAGGGTTTTTTTGGTTTAGTTTTGGACTCACTGATGATAAAGTTATACTCAAGTTTCAAATAAAGGGATTGTGCCATCTTAATAAGTTGTTCTGATACTGATGTGGATTATGATACTCCTATAACAAAGTTTGTTGTTTCACTCCTCTTCATTCTGCGTTATTCATATGAAACTAAAGTTGAAGTGTAATGGATTTGATGTTTGGTATCTTGAACTTTTGACGGATTTGGTGTTTTTGGAGGTGATGAAGAAATCAAGCTCATTCAGGATGAAGGAATTGTGCCATATTAATAAGTTGTACTGATGCTGATGTGGATTATGAGACTCCTATAACAAAGTTTGTTGTTTCACTCCTCTTCATTCTGCGTTATTCATATGAAACTGAAGTTGAAGTGTGATGGATTTGATGCTTGGTATCTTGAACTTTTGAATGATTGTTGAAGGTTGGTAACAACAGTTTGATTCACTGATGATAAAATTGTACTCAATTTTCAAATAGAGGGATTGTGCCATCTATCTTAATAAATTGTTCTGAAATTGATGTGGATTATGGTACTCCTATAACAAAGTTTGTTGTTTCACTCCTCTTCATTCTGCGTTATTCATATGAAACTGAAGTTGAAGTGTGATCGATTTGATGTTTGGTATCTTGAACTTTTGATGGATCTTGGGTTTTGGAGGTGATGAAGACAGTCTTATCATACAACAGGATTTGAGGCCCCATCAACACGAATTGATTTCATCTTTTCAAGTTGATCAAATCAAGTATTATGATAGTTTATTGTTTTTGGGATAAGTATAACACACACCTTCTGTTTGAATATGCTTCTGCAGCATACATTGTGGATTATCATGATGATGGGAGAATTCATTTTGATTTGAAGAGTTGGTATTGATGATAGTTTGTTTGGATGATACCACCTGGGTTTTCTCAGATCTGACATTCACATTTGATTTCCTTTTGGACCTGGATTTGATTTCTCACACCACCCATTGTCAAAAGATTATGATGTATTGTTGGATGAAATGCAAAAGTTCAAATGGTGTTTATTTCTATTCTATGGGATGCTGAGATACTACTAACATTTAGGGGGGAAGCTTCTGATCAATTCAAACTGGCCAAATCAACAGCACACAGCACACAGCACCATGACAGCACACAAATGATGATATATCATCACAAGATCATTAGGGGGGCAAATTGGATACAGGGTGGGTGCAACCAGATGAAACTGTGTTGTCGAATCTAAAGATTATTGTTTTGACCTGATCGCCCATTACAGATCTTGGAAATTCGCGGAAAATTTGGGACATCCGAACACCACCCTAAAACCTGACCCCCCATTTTTTCTATCCCAAACGATACTTTGGAAGGAGAAGAACCTCTGGGTGAGGCTCTAACCTCTGTACCGTTTGTATTTGGCTAGAAAATCCAAAAAATTCATTTTTAACGCCCCTCTAACGGCCTGCCCGTGGCCGATTTTTGGAATATGTTGCCCCTACCATTTTCTTAAGTATGGTGAAACCTATTTTGGTCTATAACTTTTCAATAAATGGTTTATATGCTTAGCTTTGTATTCGAGAAGATAGAGAAACATTAAAAGTATATACTCATCCAGAAATGGAACCCCGAATCCTTTCGAGGGTGTATATATCTTGTTTTAACTGTTTTTGAAACCCAAAAAGTATTGATATTGAATGAAATAGTGAGGTTATTGAGACAGAAAGGTGTTGGAAAGATGGAGAAAATTTCAATCAAACTTATGGTGATAAGCATGAGGGCCTAACATTAATAGTTGTTGAATTATATCCAATACCAATATATCAATGACATTACGATACTTCAAATAATCATCCAATCCACCCAAAAACTATTAGAAAAGTTGTAACCATACAACCAAACTCTAATGTAGTAAAAATTTCATCAATATCTTTTAAACTGATTGAACAGTAACAAATCTCCATAATCAGCTTAACAAAACCATTAAATACTCCAGCACCAAGTGACACTATCACCACCACTATAGCTTGACCATATGCACCATCACATTCTCCCTCTATATCAATTGAAATAAGCTCAAAATCTCAAAAACTCAACGTTTTATTCCAATTTCCAATCCTCACCATACTTAACAGAATTTAGTCACGTGAAAATGTGGCCGTAACGCCAAAATCCACTATACAAATATCCAAATAAAGAAATCTCAATAAAACCATCATAATCAATGATATCCACCCAAATAAACACACCAAGTAACAGAAAAACCTACTCTACAATTAAATGGGTTCAAAAACACATGTATTTTGGCCTCAAAATACCTATATTAACCCAGTACCGTCCAGTAGTAGTACCGCCAGTTCAAGCAACCAATAACACTAACAATAACAACCACTCAAAACAAACAGACACAACAACAACCAATGTAGAACCTAACCATTAACATCCAGAACAAACCAACATCTCTGCTAGCTGGTCATATTAAAGCTACGTAGCTTGTAATTATATCACTTTTTAGTCATGTATGCACGTCTGCACCTCACTTTAGAAATATGCCACAAAAACAAAAAAACAAAAACTGTTTCTCAAATCCACGATTTTGGGATTTTTGAAAAAAAAAATCAAAATGCAATCGAAAAATCGTTTTGGCAACTTTCCATGGCAATTGGTCTTTTGGGAAAATTTCTGTGTTTTTTTCAAAAAGTGCTGAATTGACCATTTTCCCATACAAATTTTTGATCCACCATACATACTGCAATAAACACAAAATCAACAATAGACCTTTAACATTTGCACCTGTTACCACACAAGTAGTTCTGTAGACCTATTCAATCCTCCAGCTTTTGTTTGGCCATCTCC